TAGAGCACTTGCCTAGCACATGCGAGGCCCTGGGTTCAATCCTCAGCACCACATAAAAAAGGTATTGTGTTCAACTAAAAAAAATAAATATTTTTTAAAAAATCAACTCAGAGTGGATCAAAGACTTAGACACTAGAACAGAGATCCTACACCTAATAGAAGAAAAAGTAGGCTCAAATCTTCATCACGTTGGCTTAGGACCAAACTTCTTTACAAGACTCCTAAAGTGCAAAAAGTAAAATCAAGGATCAGGGGCTGGGGATGTGGCTCAAGCAGTAGCGCTTGCCTGGCATGTGAGGTGCACTGGGTTCGATCCTCAACACCACATAAAAATAAAAAATAAAGACATACGTCCACCTAAAACTAAAAAATAAATATTAAAAATTAAGAATCAATAGATAGGATGGTTTCAAACTAAAAAGCTTCTTCTCAGCCAAGGAAACAATCAATAATGTGAAGAGAGAAACTACAGTTTGGGAGAAAATATTTACCACACTCATCCCAGATAGAGCACTAATCTCCAGGATATATAAAGAACTCAAAAAACTTAACACCAAAAAAAAAAAAAACAAATAACCCCATCAATAAATGGACTAAGGAATTGAACAGACACATCACAGAAGAAGAAATATAATTGATCGGCAAATATATGAAAAAATGTTCATCATCTCTAGCAATTAGAGAAATGCAAAGCAAAACTACTCTAAGATTTCATCTCACTCCAGTTCAGAATAGCAGTTATTAAGAATAAAAGCAGCAGCTAGGGAGGTGAAGGCAGGAGGATCATGAGTTCAAAGCCAGCTTCAGCAATTTAGCTAAGTGCTAAGCAACTCAGTGAGACCCTGTCTCTAATAAAATGCAAAATATGGCTAGGGATGTGGCTCAGTGGTTGAGTGACCCTGAGTTGGATCCCTGGTAGCCCCCTCCCCCCAAAAGAATACAAGCAACAATAAGTGTTTGTGAGGATATGGGAGAAAAGGCATACTCTTATATTGCTGGTGGGACTGCAAATTGGTGCAACCAATCTGGAAAGCAGTATGGTGAATCCTTAGAAAACTTGGAATGAAACCACCATTTGACCCAGCTATCCCACTCCTTGGTCTTTATCCAAAGGACTTATAAATCAACATACTATAGTGATGCAGCCAGATCAATGTTTGTAGCAGCACAATTCACAATAGCTAAACTGTAGAAGCAACCTAGATGCCCTTCAGTAGATGAATGGATAAATAAGAGGTGGTATATATACACAACAGAATATTACTCAGCCTTAAAGAAGAATGAAATTACAGTATTTGCAGGTAAATGGATGGAGTGGAGAATATCATGCTAAGTGAAATAAGTCAAACCCAGAAAACCAAAGGCTAAGTGTTTTCTCTGATAAGTGTATGCTGATCCATAATGGGAGGGGGTAGGGAAGCATGAAGGAACTTTGAATTGGGCAGAGGGGAGGGGGGAAGGGAGGGGGTGTAGGGGTAGGAAGGACAGTGAAATAAGATGGACATTATTTTTTTTTTAAAGAGAGAGTGAGAGAGGAGAGAGAGAGAGAGAATTTTTAATATTTATTTTTTAGTTCTCGGCGGACACAACATCTTTGTTGGTATGTGGTGCTGAGGATCGAACCCGGGTCGCACGCATACCAGGCAAGCGCGCTACCGCTTGAGCCACATCCCCAGCCCAAGATGGACATTATTATCCTATATATGTATATGAGTACACTATTGATGTGACTCTCCGCTATGTACAAAGGAATGTGTTGTGATCCATTTAAGTACAACATGTCAAAATGCATTCTACTGCCATGTATAACTAATTAGAACAATTTTTTAAAAATAGAAATTGATATGGGCTGGGGATATGGCTCAAGCGGTAGCGCGCTCGCCTGGCATGCGTGCGGCCTGGGTTCGATCCTCAGCACCACATACCAACAAAGATGTTGTGTCCGCTGAGAACTAAAAAATAAATATTAAAAATCTCTCTCTCTCTCTCCTCTCTCCTCTCTCACTCTCTCTTTAAAAAAAAATAGAAATTGATATAAGTATACTGTAAAATTCCAGTTAGGTTAGATTTAGGGTTTGCCCCTATAAGTCTTTCTGATAATAGACAATGGTTCAGTCTTTTAAGGTGGACTCTTTCTCCCTGTGGTACTGAGAGGCTCAGGAGGCTCTGATATACATCTTCCTCCAACTCTTGGGTCTGTTTTGCTCCTTGTTCTCCAAAATCCTGTGAATTCTTGGTGCCTCATCTAGGTTTTTTCACCAATTTTCTCATAAACACATAGTTTACTGATTAAACTTTGTATACTCTCTTGATAAGTGCAAACATTTTTAATGTTTATGGCCTCAGAAATAAAAACTTTAACTTTATAACTATTGTTCATCGAATGGATTTCAAGAGCCTATTTTGGAAGTAATAATCCTAAACATTCTGGACACAATGCATGCTTTAGATCAATAATTGTTTGACTTTCTGTAAGTGAAAAAAAAGCACAAAAATGTTTTTCATTAATTTATATCATACTGCTGAGTGAAAAGAAAGGATGTGAGGGCTGGGGCTGTAGCTCACTGGTAGAGTGCCCGCCTTGAATGTGTGAAGCACTGGGTTCCATTGGCAGCACCAAATAAAAATAAATAAAGATATTGTGTCCAATTACAACTAAAAACATATTTTTTTAAAAAAGAAAGGATATTACAAAGTATAAGTAGTATGCCATCATTTGGGGGTGGGGGAGAAGAAAAAGAATGTATATAGGAATGCTTATATAAGTACAGAACATCCTAGGAGTTCACAGTATCTGTAGTTGTCTCCAAGAAGGAAGAATAGATGCTGGAGGTTATGGAGAAAGAATAGATGCTGGAGGCTTATTTATTTCTTAATTCCCCCAATGTTTAATCATAAAACATTTCAAACATATAGACAAGCTGAAAGAATCACCCATAGGGAACACTAGTATTTGCCACCCAGACTCTGTCATTAACACTTTAACTATATTTGCTTTATTAATCTTTCTACGCAACCATCAATCTACCTTAGTCTTTGACACATTGCAAAATAAATTGTAAATATAAATTCACTTAACCCCTACATTCTAGATAATGGACATGATTAACTGAATTTGAAATTGTGTTTACCATATTTTCTTTTGAATGAAATGTATCCATATTAAGGATACATTGGCTGAATTTTGACAAATGCATAAATCAGAATAACCCTAATCTCTATCACAATACTGTAAAAAAAAAAACAGAAAACAGAAGAAGGCCTACTTTTGATTGCATTGCTTTTAGCATCTTTAGAATTTTGAGCCATATACTTGTGTTCTCTATTTTAAAAGTAAATATTTAAACATCTTAAATATTTAGATTTTTTTAGCCAGGCATGATGGCACATACCTGTAATCCCAGTGATTTGGTAGGGTGAGGCAGGAGAATCTCAAGTTCAAGGCCAGCCTGGGCAACTTAGGTCCTGTCTCATAATTTAAAAAAATAAAAAAAAAAAGTGTTGGGAATGTATATCATTAGTAGAGTGCTGCAGGGTTCAATCCCCAGCATTGGAAAAAAAATGTAACATATATATGTGTGTGTATATATATATATATACACATACATATATTTTTATAATGATGGATCATTGAGTCTAAATTAGATGAGAAACAAAACAAAAACAGGAGGAGGTGATACATGACAAGGAAGTGATATATGACAACGGAATGGACTCATTGATGTTAAAGAGTTGTAGTGGTGGTGTTACCAGACAACTCTTTTGGCTAGACAGTGGGATGTTGGAATGGAGTTTTCAAAAGTAGTCATTAAGGTTCATTCATAGGGTCCATTCATAAGGAATGGGTGGCTTGTTTAAATGAAGATTAACATATTAGTTCTTCTCTCTACCATGTCTCAAGTGCACAGTATATTTTTCCCTTGTAACATTTAGTACTACAACACTATAAGTAATTTAGCTATCTCTCCCAGTCCACAGGGGATTGCAAGGATACCAAAATCCTTGTATGTCCATGTCTTATATAAGATGGTGTAATATTTGCATATAATATACACACATACTCCTTTATAGTTTAAATCATCTCTACATTATTATAATACAAGTTAATAATGTAAGTACTATATAAATAATTGTTTTACTGTATTGTTTAGCCAATAATGATAAGGGATAAAAAAGTCAGTACACATAAAATTTTTTCCCAATTGTATTTCACCTGTGGTTGTTTGAATTCACATACATGGAACTCACAGATATGGAAGGTCAAAAGTATTTGAGTAACTATGCTTAATATTTGGTTCCCTTCATAAGCTCCAAGAAGGCAAGGGTCTTCTCTATTTAATCCTGTATTTCCAGCACCTACCACATATAGAATTGGAGTCCTTAGGTAGCCTTACCTCTTTGTTTTGCTTTACTCCAGAGCTTATTTACTTCTACATATTATGAGGGTGTGAACAAACACTGTTTTAAAACTTGCATAATACAATACCAGGTGTCCTGTAAACTCTCGGTATAAATAATGTTCCCTTCCTTAGGCCAGTGGTTTGTAGTTTGAAGGGATAAAATTAGCGGGCTATGGTTTAGGATATTCTAGGCCAGTGTTCCTTCAAGGAATCCAATTAATACTCATCCCCTAATCTTTTTTAAAATATATTTTTAGTTGTTGATGAACACAATATCTTTATTTACTTATTATGTGGGTGTTGAGGATCAAACCCAATGCCTTACACATGCTAGGCAAGTGCTCTACCACTCAGCTACAGCCCCAGCCCTGACCACTTAAGCTTTAATAGAATATTTAAGCACCAGTCACTCCTGATCAGAAATGTTAATAGTTAACACGTTTGTGCATTCACTCATTCAACAGACATTTACGGGTTCCTTCTCTGAGCCAGTTATTTAAGACAGCTGTCATGATCCCTGAATGATAATGTATCTCATCTCCTCTAACCCGAAGTCCCCAGGTCTGGGGTGAGGGGCAAGCTACTATGGGCAAGGGGTGAGGGTGAGGGGAACTTCCAGTCTCGCCAGCAGAGGGCGCGCCCCCGCCCTCCGGACTCAGTAGGCTTCTAGGCTCCCATGCTCGCTCCCGAGCGCGCCCCCGTCCGCCGCATCACGTGATGCGGCCACGGAACCTGAGCTGCAGGGCCTAAGCTGAGTTAAATTCGTTGCCGGTGGCCGCTGTGGGTGCAACCACAAAGGCTAATCCGAAGGAGTCGGGGAGTCCGTTAGAGTCGATGCTTCCTCCTCGAAGTCAGGTCGGCTCCTGTTACCGTCTCACCATTCGTTGCTCCTGTCTCTCTGAGCTTTTGCATGAGCTCTTTCGTGTGGGGAAGCTCCAGTGACCATGTAGGGGAAAAAAGCGAGGAAGCTCCGGTGCCCAGGACGAGGTCAACGCTGCCGGCACGCCGCCCGAGTGCCCTGAACACCCCGGGTACGGGCCACTGGGCCCGTGGGCCCTGGTGGGAACTCGGGCCTCCTGTTGTGGCCTGGCCCGGAGCGCCACGAATTCTCGCCTCCTCTCGCGAGAGTCTAAGTTGAAGGAACATGGCGACGTCTAATCTGTTAAAGGTAAGACCCTTACTCCAGCTTGCTTTTTACTCCATAGCCTCCGGGTTCAGCTCTTCGAGAACGGCTTGGTTCAAGTTCAGTGGCGAAATGCGGCAGTGCTCCGGGGTTGTCTGCTGGAAGGGAAGCTGCGGTGGCTGCGCCGAGGACGGGGACGCCGTTCTCTGGCCTTGGGGTCGAGGCTTTGGTGGTCCCTCCCCTCTCTCTGGCTGACGGGTGTGTGAGAAGCCCTGCCGAGGGCTGGCGGGGAGCAGTGTTTTCTAGGGACCAGCTCTGGCTGGGAACGAGAGATGAATAGTCGCTATGCCCCGACCATTGGGCCATTATTCCTCTTAGGTTCTGTTTATTCTAAAGCAAGAGTCTAGGACGCATAAAAGGGAAATCCAAGAAAATTCTGCCTGTTTCAATGACTCTACCACAGCTCCTCAATTTCTGTTCTCATACTGTCTGCACGCAATGCGAGTCAGACAGCAGTGCCTCCCACTCCATCCTCCTCCTGCCTTTTCTGCATGCTACACCTTCCTTCCTATTCTCATTCTTTGACTTCCTATCCCCTTTCTTTTCCTTAAGAGGCTGTTCCCCAACCTTCACCCCCATTAGAGGACACTACCAAATGACAGTGAATAAGTGCTGATATCATATCCATCGTTTTGGGAAAGTTCTTATCAAATAAAACATTTCAAGTTTTTTATCGCAAAAGAGATATAGGCCCAGAGGGACAGATTCTCCATTATAAGTTTAAAAGTTTGGAGGAGAATGAGGAAGACATGAACTATTCTGCTCTTTAGTATCTTTTGCCTTAACAGTACTGTCTGAAATGGGAGTAGTGATTACCTCTCTCTCAGAGCCATCATTATCCCCTCAGGCAGGGTGAATGGTTATTAAAAATATAGAAAATATATTAAAGCGCAAAGTGCATTCTATTATCATGTATAACTAATCAAAACAAATAAGAAAATATATTAAAGTGTACTGAAACCTCATTTTCATATCTTTTTTAAGCCACTAAATTAGCTGCCTAATTGAAGAGTCTTATAAAATAATCAAATTTTACTAAGAGAAATATATCACCTTTTACAAGGGCCTAGAACTAGATTCTGAATTTCTGCCACTTAAGAGCTGTGTGACAAGTTTCTTAATTTCTTGTGCCCACGTTTCCTCATCAGTAAAATGAAATGAGCAATAACACCTATTTTGAGCAAGCACTGTAATTAAGTGTATTAATGTAAAGTTCTTGTAACTGTGCCTGGCACTTAATTAATATACAATACAGTAAATTACTAGGACTGTTTTTAATGTTCCTGTTTCTTTAAGAAAACTAATCCATAGGAATTAACTCATTCTACTCTTTCTTTTGTAACAATATAGGAAGATTTTAATGTATTAGTTCAGAAAGAAAATTTAACTTTTGAAATTAGTGTATCCATGTTTTAGTGGGCAGTATTTTTTGTTAATAGAAATAGTTTTAAGAAATGATTTGGTTCCTTATTCTTTGAGTTTTTGACTCATTGATTACTTGGACATGAAGCACAGTCTCCTCTCCCACCCTCTAAATTCTCTATCAGAAAATAGCAACTTGCTACTCTCTGTACAAAGCCTCACAAAGGATTTTTTGGAAGAGGTTTAAACCTAAAGCTACTGCCCTCAATTGCAAGTTAAGTGGTTACCTTGTAAAGATTATGAGTCTGTATCTACAACATACACCAAAGAGTGGGAACAAACAAACAAAACCTGCCAGACATTATAGAAAATGGGCACTTACGGTTTAGGGTAAAAGGGCACTTAGGGTTAGGGTAAAAAGATCACAAGGAAATTAGGAGCATCTTACTTTCAAAATAGCCCTTACCCTCTTTACCTTCTCATGTGTAAACCGGAGTTTCTTAAATAAATCTCTGCTAGTGCCTTTTTTTAAAGTGCTTTAACTTAAACAATGTTTAAATAACTTTCATAAATAAAAGGAAGGTGATAATGCATTGAAAATAAGTGACTCCGTTATATTAGTAAACTTGAAGACAGATGCCAAAAAATACTTTGGAAAAATTTCAATAAAATTATTTTATGAAATGTTAACTATGGGAAAAGGCAGCATTTCTAAATGAATATTATATAGCATGTGATTTTAAATATGTATAACTTATGTTATATAGTGGCTTTACAAATAGATATTTGGTTCTGTTATCTATTAACAAAAGTTTATGTATTCAAGTTGGCCAGAAAACTTTTTTTTTCCTCTTGTTATTGGGAAGTGGGAGGATTGCCTCATACTCCTACATTAAAAGTAGTAATTATAGAGTGGGAAAATGGAAGTTTATCTTCTGGAAGAAATATAGTGAGAACCTACCACGTCTAGAACATAATTTGTACCATCATTTAAATGCAAGGCTGTTGGTACCTTGAATAGAGACAGGACTGACTGCAGAGTGACCAAATTAGCCTCATTTCCTTTTTTTTTTTGGCATTAGGGATTGAACCTAGGGCCTGTGCATGAAAAATCATGCACTCTACCAACTGAGCCATATCCCCAGCCTTCATTTCCTTTTTTGATAGGATTAGTTGACTGGTTTGTTAGTGAGATGCTGTTGACATTGTGCAATTAGATTTCACCATGGCACATTTGACAAATTGATCATGTCTAGTGGTCAAAATAGAGAAATGGGAGCTAAATAAGAGTTGATTATAAATTAAACAACTTTACCTGGAAAACAATGAATAATAATAAACAGTCATCAGCCCTAAAGGGAGTACTTTAGTGTCCTACTGAAAGTATACATTCTTTAGTTATTTACCAGTAACTTTGATGAAATCAAGTTTATTGAGTTTGTGGGTGACAGAAGAAGTTAAAGGAATAGCTAATGTTTTGAAAGTTCACGTCAGAACTTTCTTGATGTGAAACTTGTAAGTTAGAGCCCAGTGCAATAAAAAACACCAAATTTTTTAATATTGGAAGTTGATTAAAATAATTTTATTCTTTTTAAAGCAAATGGACTGTTGCTGAATCTGAGAATTCTTTTGGGTATACAAAGATTTGTGTAGTACATTTTGACATATACAATTATCAACTGCTCAGAGAGGCTGATATCTACAAAACCTTTTCCATATTGCTACTTTATCTTGTTTTTTTCTTTCGTTGTGTTTTATAGAACATTTATAGTAATCTGATTGTTTTACCTTGTGTTTTAGATTACTTGTGTCTAATTCTAACATATAATTGTTCCTTTTCTTTTGCAGTTATCTGAGCCCTCAGTGCTCATTTTCTTCACATCTAGTTAATTATCCTACTTCAAAAAGCAATCTTTTGAACCTCTTTTTTTTCTTCTTCTGATCCTTACTTTTCCTAATTCTAGCCCATTACTTTACGTAACTATTGGGAATGTCCTTAATTACGTTGGTCAATACCACAAATTTTTCTAGTGTTCCCTATATTCTGCTGTTTTTCCATGCCACCTCCTAAATTGCTGCTTTCCCTCTGTCCTAGCTTGGTCCTAGTTTTACCCCCTGAACTTGATGGCATGTTCCCTCAATTTTTCCCCCACTTCTATGCCAATAAGAAAAGTTCATGTATTTCTTTATATAAATATAATGTGTGTTCTGCTTCAGTCTCAAACTTTTGCTCTTTCTTGTTATTCACTGTCACAATTCTTGGAAAAAGCAGCCCCCATTTGCTGCCTTTATTATTCTTCACCTTTTTCCTTAATCCCCCCCCCCAATTATGTTGAAGCTGCCAAGTCTTCAGTGTGCCAGCAACCTTATGATTGCCAAGAGATGATTCTTTGATAATATTCATTCTATCTTATGATTTTATTGCTCACTTCCTCTGCTTTTCTT